CGTCGTTGAACAGCCGACCCAATTTCATGGGTTTACGACTACTTACGTTCAACTCCGTAGCCTTGTAATTTTGAACCAATCCAGAAGACAAGGAAACTCCTGGATCAGTACCCCCAGAGGTATTGATTTGTTGTGGGAACATGGAGGACTTTGAGACTCGACAGATTTAACGTGCATCAGTCACCATTTACTACACGGGGAGTCTTCGGCCGGCGAGGATCGAACCCACGACCTCTTGGATATGGGCCCAGCGCCCTACCGACCAGGCTATCCCGGCCCCGCTACCACTTTATTAAAACTATTCCAGAAAGAGGAGCAGTTGGCATCCCTGTACTCTATTGTCCCTCGACAAAATGTCACATGAATATCAGGTTGCAACGCGCGACATCTATGTGTTGTCACTGGCCACTTACGTTTGGCTTGGACATGGCACCAACGTGTTGTCGCCGGCTGTTAGTGCATGGCACCAACGTGTTGTCACCGGCAGCTAAGGTTTGGTTTTCATGTGACAACACGTTGGTGTCACCGGACATGAAAGTGCTAAAAAGTATTACAGCTAAAAATGCTGTTATTTCAACTATTTACATTGAAAGTATCATTAATTCTTTTTTTTACGAAAACTAAATAAATTTTCTGTAATAAAAAAGTTAAAATGATAGTATTTCACTAAAATGTTTTCATAAGAGTGAGCAAATCCATTAGTTGATATTCTTTTAAATTTGTACTTTCTGTTATTTTTAAAGTTTTCTTATGTTTAAAGTAAAGTTAGTATCCATTAAGAGATTTAAATGTAATAACTATAAATTTAACAATACTTAACTATCAAAGGTTTTATTTAATTTATAGTTATAAAAATACCTAAAATCTCTCTGTTGGCAGTCTTATATATATAATATCTAAAATTGTTAATTTTATCGGATAAAATATATCGTTCAATCCGTTCTTTCCGCTCAGGATTCTGGATCCTAGTGGTAGCAAACTAGTGACTAAAGCAATATGACGTTTTCTTCTTTTCGCAAATAACTTTAATTTTGATAACATCTACATAGCAAGTATGAGATTTTTATAAATGTATTAAGTTTCCAAACTTTTCTGGTGATCAAGAAATTTAGTGATCCATTTTTAAAAGTAAACAGATTTTTAAAATAATTTTTCAGTTTTAAAAACGTCCCCGCGGTGCCAGAAAAATTTTAGTAGTGGTAGTAAATTTAGGTTAATGCAAGGATAAATTTCTTACACTCACAATTTTGTAGTTAAGTGAACTAGCCAGACGGAATTTTCATGCATATATACTTTTTTAGGAAAACAGTTTTTGTGGTGGTTACGTAGAAATTAAAATATTGACATTTGTTTTATTTTCGATAATTTGTTTTATTTGTTTTATTTTCGATTGGAAGCAGGTATGAATCTGCTTCCAAACTTTTCCGGTAATCAAGAAAATTTAGTGAGCCATTTTTTAAAAGTAAGAGATATAATTTATGTTATAAATTTTGTTATAATTTGAATACTTTTGGCTGCCCATCCAATTTTCCTCTAATCGATCACTTATTTTTTTAAAAATTACTGCAAAAGTTGCGCGCACACGCAATGCGTTAAGCTATTCAAAAAATTCGAAATCTTTTTCTTCTGATACAAAAGATGAAAAGAAATTAAATTTAGAAAATATTTTATTAAAGCATTGATAATTAGAATACAGGAGTTAAAGGTGGTCGACCTTCTAAAACTTCAATGATGTTTTCAGCTGTTATAGTGCTATTTCTCATGAGAGCTAATTCTTCAGAAGCAGCTATGTGGGGTGTCACCACTAAAATAAATAAAATTAGTGTTATTTCCTCTATTTTATAAGTTAAAGAATTTTTTTTTTTAATATTTCCAATGGCAGGGAAAATTACAGAAAAAGATCAACATGAAAAAATGAGCAGCAGGAAATCGATCATGGTTTGTCAGAGTCGCAATGAAGTGTTGTATACAGTGTGCATAATTAAAAACGGATCATCATGAATAACTAAATGGTTGAGCCGCTAACTTTAATTATGTAAATTAATTAGCGTACACGATATTTTAAGTTATTCAAGCACAAAAACGCACTTTCACGGAATAAACGTACCTTTTTTGACGGATTTGGATTCCTGACCCCCAAAAATATAGGAGGTAGCTACAATCTGGGAAATATGGTCTCACTAGTTTGGTCAGTAGGGCGGTTTAAAGTTTGGCTCCCTTAATATCAATTTTACTTTTTGCGTATTTCACCATATCTCGAGAGATTTTTAAACGAATTAAAATTTTTTTGCACACAATTATAAACTTCGTTTATCTAAAGACAGTTCCATACGATATGTATCTCTTAGTAAGTATTTATTTTATTTAATAATAGTCGAAAAATTTTGAATTGTAACGTATACAATTTCATACATAATTTTAAAGAATATAATTTAAAATGGCAAAATACAAATTTTGAGCGAAATCGGTCGAATAGTTCCGGAGAAATAAAATTTTAGAAATATGACTTTATTTTGCGCACTATACTCTAGGTTCTGATAAATCTCACCTCAAAAAGGTGAAACAATAGGGAGATAACTTAAATTTAAATTTTTGTGCTGGTAATTTTTCGACAAATTTGCTTAGCTAAAATTTTTTACCTGCTCAGCCACAAAAAGTAGTTAATAATTAAAAAAAAACACCTATGAAAAAAAATGGTATACCATTGGTAAACCAAAAATGGTGTACCACTTAATCTTTCAAAGCAGATTGTACTTCAATTTCAGACACATAATCAAGTAATATTTTAATTATTAATACATTAAGGTAGACTATATATGTTTCTGAAAAATAAACCCGAGTAAAGAACACATTTGTGCTATCAATTTTTTTCGTAGTTTTGAAAAAAAATATTCTTTCAAGAGGTGGCATGAGTTATGTATTAATCTCTCAAAATAATTTAAAATGATATAACAAGATAATTTTTAAATAATAAGAGAAAAAAGTAGTAAAAGATAAATTTTGAAAATAATAAATACCTAAATTTGGTAAAGAGAGAAGGGCGTGGTCAGGAGGTAAAGGTTCCGGATACATAACATCTATACCAGCGGCTCTTATCTGTCTATTTCTTAGAGCTTCAAACAAGGCTTCTTGATCGACTATTCCACCTCTGTAAAATAAGTATAACTGTAAAAACATTCATTTTAAGACATTCTTCAATTAAAGTAACGAAATAACATTGCTTAAAGAGATTCAATATTTGGCGAGCAATTTTTTCCCCTAAAATAACTGCAACTATAAAGGAATTATTTCTAAAATATTTTCCTGTCACAGTTAGGAAATAACATAGCCTAATAGTTAAAGAAATTGAAGAATTTTGCATGTCCATCTGTGTAGGTATCTCGAACTGTATAAGTATCTGTGTAGGTATCGGAGTGTAGGTATATCGATCCTGATCAGTTGGTAAAACGTGACATTTGTTTGTGTTAGCAACTGTTTTACCATTCTATTTCGAGTAAGCCAAGCCCGTCAAGTATTAATTCAAGTGACACATTCTATATTTTTTCACGAAGATTTTTTCACAAAGATTTCAATTCTTTCACTGTATATTTCTAATTTAACACGGAGACAGACACGAAACCATGAATCTGTGACCGTCTTCGTCTCGAGTTGCAAGCACCAAATTTTAACTATAAATGAATTATGTCTAAGATACTCTCCAAGCAGAGATCGAAACAATCTTTGATAAAAGATTTCATAGCATTCCCGTTTTTGAGGGAATTTTTTCCTAATACAGTAAAAATTATTATAATTATATTCCAATTATTTATTATTTATCTGTGTCTGATTTTCAAATAAAGCTTCGCAACAAAAATAATTATTGCTATAAAAGAGTTATCTATAAAATATCTTCCAGTCGAATATAAGAAGTCTGCCAAAAACCAATTTTTTTTTTTATTTATTTCCTATGAGCAGCACAATCAGTCTTCCCGATGAGCAGACCTAGTGCGTTCTCCAGAAGTGGTATCCACTCTTTCAGGACCACCACAATGGGTGAGATACCGTTGGCAATGTTAATTTGGACGTCTAGTTTCTGCCACACTAGATGGCAGCACTGAAACTCTATTTGGATGCTGAAATGCACTAGGAATTTAATTTTGCCGGAAATGCCAAGAGTCAATAAGGCACTCCGGGGATCTTTCACATGCCGCTTACGATTTGGCCGCTGAGGATTTTCTGCATCCCGAAAATCCGGTGTCTGGACCGGGGATCGAGCCCGCAGACTTGGGCTCAGAAGGCCGACTAAAAAAAATAGAATTAAGTATTTATTTAATTATATTGGAATTCGATAAATCTATTTGATAATTTTTTCAAAATATCAATGCGTAAGAAAGAAAAGCGAAACAGCAATAAAAACAAACGTGAACGGGATGAAATGGCGAGACCGAAACGCCCTACTTTTTTTTTTTGGAATAATTTTTCAATGAGAATCGTTCACTTAGCCAGGGTGAAAAGAATTTCACCTAACAGATACTGTATCCCACTAATCTCCTGTAGTTCATTGCACTGACAAAGAACATTCATCATCACTCCACCGCTTGCATTTGCGAAACAAATCTTTACATGTTTTCATCTTACATCTTAACATGTTTTCTTCACCCTGTTCAACTCCCCTAAGACTCGCCCCCTCTATTAAACATTTTGTTCAATAGTGTCATGTAAAATTCATTTTCTTGTGCGTTTTTCTTTTGGAATAGTATCTTATACTAGAATTCTTTAAAATTATAATTATGAAAAAGTACACTAGTAAGCTTACCGGCTAGTGTTGATAAACACAGCATTCGATTTCATAAGAGAGAAAGCTTTCGATCCCAAGAGTCCCTTGTTTTCTTCTGTCAGGTTGCAGTTCACTATCACAAAATCTGACTCTTTTAGAAGTTCTTCAAATGAGGCATAGTGAGCTCCAAGAGCTTCAGCTGAAAGAATTGATAGGTATTTAAATTTAAAATTTTCCAATGTTTTGTCTGGAAACACTGATTAAAATATGTTTTTTGTCAGCACTATTTATTTGTGTAAGAGTCTCTATATACAAAGAAAGTTATAGAAAAAGGCGCCAACACAGTTTTTGAGTTACGACTATCAATGTTCAACTCCGTAGCATTGTGATTTTGAACCCCCAACCCAGCAAACAAGCATTGGGAGAAATTTGCCTTCGTCGAGGGGTTTTTAATGGAACCAATCCACATTTGCGTTATATAAAGAGGAAAAGACGAAAACTTCACACGGTCAGCCTGAAGGCAAAGGGATAACCCGTGATTACCACAGAGAATATTTTACGCCAGTACTGAGGTTGGTGTTAGCCCGGTGCGGAATTGATATCGACCAACCATTGCTAGTATTCGAACCCAGGTTACCTAATTGTGAGACGTGTGATTGCTATTTGAAATAGAGCGTCACTAATATGTTTGAAAGGAAAAACATTTGGTCACAGTTTTTCGTTGAAAACTCTCGACGGCTGCAACCGAAATTTCCTAATTACGAAATTTTTTCCTCGTCCTTTATAAACAAAACACCGATATCTAGAATGCTACATCTATTTTTCGATTGCATTGCCAGGGCTTTCCATTTTCTACGCTTTTTGGACAAATTTCCTCTAGTAGTAGCTGAAATTATGTTTGGAAGTTTGATTCCTTGCTTTGTATATTTGACTGAAAGTTATTATTCATACTACTACTACATGCAAATGATTTAAACGTCCATATGAAGCGCCACTTTGTTCCGGAGCTCTAATGACAAAGCTTTTAAAATGTTGGGAAAATTACCGAAAATTTTGGTTTTATAATGTCTACCACCCGATAAATTATTTTACAAAAAGCGTAGTAGTTGTTAGGCCTGCATTAGTATCCTTCATACTAATGATATTCCTTTTATTATTAGTTACCATGTGCATGTCTATCTATGAATGCCACATGTGACGATAATTCTTACTATTTTTTGTCGCCTGTTGCATACCTGCCAGCTTCTAATCCTTTTGAGGATGATTTTTCCCAGTGGTAGTAAAATGAAACTTTAATTGTAATTTTAAGCAGAAACATATGCGGTATTTTAGAAAAGCCTATACTGACAACCACGACTGTATTACATATTTATATATTTGTTTAATTTTCTTAAAAATAGTGGTGGTCAAAAAGATTATATATTAAGTTTATAAATGCAAGGAATATCTAGAAAGCATACATTTTACTACCACTTTAAATGTTGAAATCAAGTTTTACTCCAAATACGTAAAAGTTGGCAGGTGTGCCTGTTGCATCCCTGCTACAAGACACAAACATTTCCGTGATCTTTATTCGAAATTCGATGATATTCACTAATTTCTGAGAAAAGTAGTAAATTTTAAGATACAATTTCTGCACAGAGTCTGTTACTGAGCGAAATAGGATTTAGATTTTAAAAAGGAGTGGTAATTAACAGATCCGCTAAAAGAGATTTAATTAAGATGGTAGATACTCTGGAGACAGGTTATAGCCATACTATTTTCAGCAACTTGTCAATACATTGCAAGCTGGTCACGTAAAAATACGTTTTTGAAATGCGTGAAATGATACAAAAGTTTAAAAAAAGTGGTAGCGAAACTATTTTGTTTCCTCTCTGCTTTTCCAAAGAAATTATTCATTCGTGATTACTACAAAACGTAAATGATTCAGTTTATGTTTAATCAGTGCTACAATCATTCGTCGTAATTTTTTAAAAATTTTGTAGATATAGAGACAAGTTTACTTCAGCTTTAATGAAATCTTGATTACCACTTTTTTAAAAAAGATTTGAAACTTTTCTAAACTGTTATGACTATCATCTATATCAACGCATTTTTTGTGTTGTGCCCATTTTTTCATATGTTTATTTTAAGTCATGTCCATTTTCTAAAAGGCGCATTTTTAGCCCTATCCGAAATTAGAAGTTTATCAAAGGAATGCGCCTCTTCATTATCGAGGACTTCTTCTCTAGAGTAGAATATTTTATTACACCAAAACTGCAGTGGTGTAAATCAACGATATGTAATTAGTTACATAATAAATTAAGGTCTTTAGATAGCAAGAAATTTTTGCAATATTATTAAAATATATTTTTTAATTCATGAAAATTTAAAAAAAAATATTGTTTACCTTTTTCTATTGGTTTATAGACATCATAGTATAAAGCTTTGTTTATTTTGAATGCCATGATTCTTTCTAAAACTGCCAAGCCTACGAAGAAATTAAATAAATAACTAAACAAATATAATTTTAAAACATATATTCAATACAGCGTGTATGAGACAATATCATGTAATTCATTCAATATAATAGGTCAAATGCATCTTATATCTCCAAACCTCTAAAAATAACTTATCAATTTTTTATAATGATATGATTAGATATCATCAAAAATGACATAAAAACGATTGAAAGAACGATTATATAAACAATGATATGCTATGATATAAAATTTCTCCGAGCCACAGTTATTAAAATATTATTAACTTTAGACTACAAGTTCGTAAGACCGACAGGGAGGGACCCAGGCAATTCTGCTCCCGGTAAGACTTTATTTTCGCACCTCCATCCCCATGTATACACTATATCATTTATGATAATAAATATCATATTTACTTCATTCCATTAGTACAGCGGTTCCCAATTCTTTTCGACTACGAAACCTTAAACCTAAACCCTTCTTTCGATGGAACCTCGACATTATAAATAAAGTTTATTAAGGTAATTGTGAATATTTTAACCTACAAAAGACTATTATTAAATATTCAATTGGAGGTATGAAGATTTTTAATTGCGTTATTTTATAATAATCCATAACTGTCCGACATTACTGTTTTTTCACATATATACAATTGCTTTTTACCCAAGGAAAAATAAATAGCAATGAATATTGTTTTTAGTTGAATATAGCATTCGAAAAAAACTACAACTATAAATTTAGTTGTTTGATGATCAGGTTTTTTTTTCGAATCTGTCTCACTTTGATCGCTGAACCCTTTGCTCCAGGAAGGATGTAATTTCAACACAATTTTAGTATTGAAGTTATATGAAATAAGGATGAATTCAACCCGTTTACTAGTACTCACCCACAAAATTTGGAATGATATAAAATGTGCTTTACCTAAGAAGTGGTATTAAATATAAATCAAATGCTTGTTTTTTTAATATGAAAAACGAGTTTTTTAACCTTTTTTCACCTGATATATTTTGACTAACACGGCATTAAATGTGGAAAGTAGATTTTAAAAATATGCATACTTTGAAACATTTATATTTGTTAAAAATATTTTCTTTTCGCTTATTATGGTGTGAAAACTTAAACTGATTTTATAAAACTAAATTGAAATTTAATTTGATGAAATTTTAAGCAGTTTTGAGAACAGTTAGTCAGTGCTCTTTAAATTTTCTAACTTGTGCGAACTTATTCTGTACTTATCCTGTATCAGGCGCACTAATTTGCACATGAAACTGAAAAAAAAGGAATAATTTTGTGCTCATAAAAACGAAAAAATATGTATACCTATTCTGCCCATACCAACAATACCAATAGTTGAATTTACGAGGCCTCTTCCAACTAACCAAGTTGGGTCCCAAACTTTCGTCCATTCACCTCTGAAAACAAAATTGTATACAAAAAACAAAATAAAATTAATCATAGTTTCAAAAATAAAACTCTACAATTTTAATTTGTACAGGATGTACCATGATAATCACTCTTAATATTTATTTATAGAATCACATAAATTGTTACAAATTATTTTATTGAAATTAACAACTTTTCCTACCATATTTTTATCTGTTTACTATTGAAGGTAAATGCGAAGAATGTTTATGCTTTAACTATTAATAACTTGACAGCGTATAACATGATATAGAACTATAAAATTTACACTCTTTTATGGAATTGCAGAAAATGCATTCAAAATTTACTTAATTATTGAGATTCTTGGTTTAACAAATTCAATTTAGTAGATTTTTTTCCACCACTATTTTTAAACAATTCGTAGGCTTATACAATTCACCACTTCACAAGATGTCATGATAAACCATCTAAAAAAATAGCAAATTCCGTCTTATATTTGCAAATTTCGTTTGTAGTTATTTACCGTTGCCAGATAGGCAAGTCATGTAAATTAGCGTGGCGTTCAACGTGTTAATATGTAAATACAATTGATATTATTCATTTATAGTCTAATTCACTGGACGGAAGACATGAAGTGTAGCAATTTTGTGACAGTGATGCCAACTGCATAGCTTTTCAACAGTAGTTTTGATAAATTGATAGTGAATTAAATAGTAAAACTTGTAGAACAAGAAGAATTTTGCTTACTTTTTGAAAGAGCCACGAGATAATAGTCCTAGTGTTTTGATTTTATTGAGCACCTGGGCCGCGAAGCGGCCCCTATCCCATTCATCTAGAATTTTAGAACAGTTTTGGTTGAGCAATGAGGTAAGCAGGCAATGGAGTTGCTTTTATGAATGTTTCAAGCTCTTTGCTTATTACACAAATGTTATTACATTATGAAATTGAGCAGCTTGCTCNGTAGCAATTTTGTGACAGTGATGCCAACTGCATAGCTTTTCAACAGTAGTTTTGATAAATTGATAGTGAATTAAATAGTAAAACTTGTAGAACAAGAAGAATTTTGCTTACTTTTTGAAAGAACCACGAGATAATTGCAAAGAAGTTTTATTTAATATACTTTGAATTTTTTATATTAAGTGGTGGAAATATTACCTGAAATGGAGAATACCAATAAAAAAATAACTTAAATTTCAAAATCGCTAGAAATTTTTTTTCACTAAGCCGAGAAACTTGTCATCTCTACAAGATTTCTTTGATTCTCACTTAATTCAGAGATGTCAACTGCTCCGGACACGTCAAAATAAATAAAAAATTAGTAAATAACTACAAACTAAATTTTGCAGATATTTGATTATTTTTGCTTGCTTTTTAAAATGTACAGCATGACGTAAGTACGATAAAGTGGAGAATGATATAAGGCTACGAATTATTTACAAATAGTGGTGGATAAAAACCTACTAAATTGAATTTATTAAATGAAGAATCACAATTGATAAACTACCACTTTGAAATATATATTTGCTGTCTGGAGCAAGTTGGCATCTCCGTTAATTTAAAACAACGCCAGCCAACTTGCATTTTTAACAGTTATAGTAAACAAAAAAATTCAGAACTTCAATGCTGAGAAAATACTTTGTAATATACATAAACATTTAGATAAAAAAGTGGTAATTAATGAAAAGTTTTTAATTGTTAAATATTGCATTCAATAACATTTATTATTATATCCAAGAAAATTTTTTTAGTAAAACTACTAGTTTTTAAAATTTAGTAGATTCTTTTTACGAATTCTTTGAAAATTATTTTTTGTTAAAACGGTTGCGTCGTAGACTAATTGAATAGTTCCGCTCTTTATAATACGTCACCTACATTTAGCAATGCGTCTTGATATTTGTGTAATTTTCCAGTAATTTCTAATTAGTCTGATATTTTTTATCCTTTTTGGGTAGTGCGACCAATTAGGCAACTCTTACTTAAAAAAATATTACTTCAAAACGTTCGAAATTTTTAGGAACTACTGTCCTTTAAGTAACATAGAGTTCAAATATATCCCATCATTGCGTGTTACGGTCAATTTAGCTAATATGTTGCCTATCTAAGATTGCCAATCCAAAGTTGCTGCGTTTGAAATGGTATATAAAAAATAAATGACGTTACAGTAATTAATATACCCGTAGTAACAAAGGAACTTCAGGCAACTAAAAGTGCTGACTAGTAAAATTTAAATTTTATTCACAGAAATTAAAACTAGCAACTTTTCTATCATGTTTTTTCTGTTGAAAGTGAATGCAAAGATTCCAATGTGAATTCTGGGTACGGAGTATCTAGCCCAGAGAGCTATCTGCTCTTTCATCGAAATTGAATAAAATGAAATCAGGGGTGTTATAGTTAACCTCTTTCAGAGAAGCCAACTGCTCCGGACACGCCACTATAATAAAAAAACGGTAAATAGCTACAAAGTAAATTTTGCAAATATTTGACTATTTTTGCTTGTTCTTTAAACGGTATAGAATGACATAAGTACTATACTACCGATTTAAGCTATGTAATTTTGTGTTCCTAGCCATAAGGGCTATCTACACTTCCATCGAAATTGTAGAATCTTTAGGGAGGAAAGGAGATTACGAAAGCGTATATCGTATTATATAAAACAATATTTAATCGAAAAAATATAAGGCGTAATAAAATACGCAGCCTGGATTATAAGTGCTATACTATAAAGTGGTGACATATATAAGCCTACAAATTATTTAGAAATAGTGGTGGATAAAAATCTACTAAATTGAATTTATTAAACCAAGAATCAAAATTAATACACTATCACTTTTAAATATATACACAGATGCCAACTCTTCCGGTTTTCCCGGAAGATTTTATTTTCATATTTAAAGTGCTAGCAAAATTCATGTTTTTTCACTAAAATTTTTGAATTATAATAATAACTAGTGGGCTGCACCCCCTACTCGCTAAAACTCGCTAACCCCCGAAAATCGCTACGCAATCTTATATGGTTTGCTTCGCTCGCTACTAACTTAGGTACATTGCAAATGCACAAAATTCTAAGAATTCAAAACTATCATTCGAATCCATATAAAAAAAATTTCAAAAAAATTACATCTTTTTAGTAAATACTAAGTAATTAAAATAAATTTGAATTCAAATAAATGACATGTAATTCGTTAAACCTATTAGAAATGTGCTATAGTATAATTCGTGATATAAATCAAAAATCGTCAAATAAATTCGTAATATACAAATTTGTGAAAAAAACCGCTTTCGACAAAATACTAAAATAGAGATCTATCGACAAAGACTACTCACTTCTGCCTAGCTTAATAGTATGAGATTACCGCAGCTGATGCTTTCTGGTTGCTTCAGTTTCCGTTTTTAAAAGCACTATATGTTGAGCCACCTCAGCTAGATTTGGCATGTGACATTTTTAGCGGCAATCATTGGTCGATTCGCCGTGTAAGATAAATAGTAACGTAAACAAAACAAAGCAAACGTTGTCACCGGCGGGAAAGAAATACATCCAAAATTTGGGGACCACGTAAGAGAATTATATATATTAGATTTTAAATCAGTTTGACCATCACCAGTACATATAAATAATTACAACATATATATAAAAGCATATTAGTCCTTACGATAGCGAAATTCAACCTGATTGAAAATTAAATATATTTTTGAGGGAGATAGTTTTTCGGTATTTGTTTAACTACCANCCAAAATTTGGGAACCACGTAAGAGAATTATATATATATTAGATTTTAAATCAGCTTGACCATCACCACTACATATAAATAATTACAACATATATATAAAAGCATATTAGTCCTTACGATAGCGAAATTCAACCTGATTGAAAAATACATATATTTTTGAGGGAGATAGTTTTTCGGTATTTGTTTAACTACCACTTGGAAAATCCATTCTCGAAAAGAGTGAATGTTGGCTGGTACGCATACTTATCAACTTTTAATCTCTTCCATTATGATTTTTCCCAGTGGTAGTAAAACGGAATTCAAATTTCGATTTTCAGCAAAAAAATGCGTTGTAAAGGAAAGGGACATCCATGGTAGTTCACATATAAATATATATTCTTAATTTTTTTAAAAAAAGTGGTGATCAAAATCATCTAATAATTAAGTTACTAAAAGAAAAAGTAGTACATATTTACTACCTCTTCAAATACGAAAATAAAATTTTACGCCAAATGCGTAAATGTTGGTATGTATGGATATACATATTTACTGTTTGGAGCATGTTGGCAATTCTGTTTTAATCGCCATAGGATCATATAAAAACCATTTTTCCTTTTTAAAAAAAGTGGTACCGTAAGTGCGCTATTATTTCAATTTATTTTTCAGAAGTTTATAGTTTCATCTAAAAAAATGTATTAATATTATAAATATTTATATTCATATTAAAAGTCGTGTTACTGTAGTTTTCAAAGTTAGCGTGGTATAAAAAAAAAGAAAAAAATATGTAATTGGTAAAAACAAATATGCACTACCTCTTTTTCGTATGTCATTGTAAATATAAATCACTTTTGTCCCCGAACATTACCCTTAAAATAATTTAAAGTGTTTTTGAGGTTTATTTGAAAGTTTAGGATTATTGTTTCAAGGCATCCACCAAAATTAATAGGCCAACAGTCATGTTGAAATTCAATGTCAAATATCAAGTCTTCATCGCACGTGGAAAATATGAAAAGTAGTAGAGTCATTTCTTAAGCCACCAGTCAATACCAGTGAGCCTGCTCTGGGAAGCCAAAAATGCGATTTTAGGCACGCACACATCACAGCCCGTTTTACAGGGAGGACCCATTCATACTCCATTCATTCATTCATCCATAAATAGTAAACTTGACCTGAACCAGAGAAATATCAATATTCTATTCAGTACCAGCACAGACGTATTGATTTGTTATGGGAACTTCAGCAGACAGGATTCGAACTCACGATCTCACAAACACGAGTACAACGCCCTATCAACCAGACTATCCCTGCCGTAGTTGTTGATCATTATAAAATTAATAAAAACTAATCATTTTCTTCAAATTCATCAGTACATCTCTCATTTCTAGACTGAGACAAAAAAATTATTCCAATTTTATGAATTCTATAAAAGATTTGAGGCAAAATGTGACCCATAAACTGGATCTCCAGGCTTTTCTGTACCGCATTTGTTGCTTTTCATTGCATTATCCTAAGTCATAAGTGTCTTTGAAATTTAGACACTTATGACTTAGACTCTTATGATTCTTTTATTTCAATTAAGTTCGCGTTGAGTCTTTTAAAAGGTCGCCAAAATTATTCGTAAATCTGCATATTTTAGTTTGTAGCTCGCCACAGTTTTTTATAATATTTTCTCGAAACCGGAGCAGTTGGTATCTCTGCTTCGTCGGATTTTTTGAGACATATAATGGGGAAATGGGTGAAGTAGGAGTAGAATTGAGGGAGAGGGAAAGACATAGCTGACGACGACGATCGGTTTTGTTTTAGTTCTCTTTAAATGTCGATATCATTTCTCTCTCTTTCTACCTACTTCTCCCTACTTCTTTACCTCTTGATTACTAAAACCCACTATTTATCTTGTTCTGAAATGTTTCCTTTAAATATATATATTTAAATAAAAAATATGGTACATAAGAAGTTGTGCTTTTTAAATAACATAGGAATAAAAAACGAATTATTTGTATATTCTTATATGTTTGATGAATAATATATTTTTAGTATTTAAATATAAAATAGTGTATAGTAGTCTTAGTGTTAATTTTTAATAAAATTGTATAATTCTGTTACTATACATAAAATGAATACAAATTATGTACTATTTAGAAAATAAATTAAGGTATATTTAATATAATCATTAAGTACTTGTTTATCTTCTTTTTATTTAAAAATAGTTGCTTTATTGGAAATACTTTATTTTACTAGTATATTAAAGCGTAGAATTAGTTTGATTTAGTGCAACAAATTTAGAAAACATAACATAGAAGTGGCTAAGTTGTATAGGAGTAAATTAGTGCAGTAAATTAGCGCATGTTATGCATTGGTATGGAATAAACTGCTCAGACGGCCAAGGCTAACAGCTGGCTGTGGTGCAAAGATTTAGCATCGTGAACCTTTCTTGTAAAATTTCAACTGTTTTTACCTTTATCTAGATTGTATATATTTAATTTGCAGCTGGCTAAAAGATATAGTTTTAAATGCACTTACTATTTTTAAGAAAATTACATTTTTTATGGATGGGCATTGTAATTTTCTTAATGTCCATAAAATGATTATGGTTCTTTTATTTGTAAAGTAAAATATTTTTAACTGCTACTTTTTAAGATACTGGTTTTCTGTATAAAAATTATTAAATATACATTGACCTATAATAGTTGCATAAATTTACCTCATAAAAAGTTGCATAAATTGCAATTTCTATCACAAATAAAAGTAAGATATTTTAATTATAAGTTCGTCATTAGTTTCAATCTACATTTAGTACAAAGTAAAAATTCTAATTGCTTTCTCTTTTATTTAAGTATTTTTTGTTTAAATTTCGAAAGCTTTTCTACTAGTCTCTTTGTGTGTACAATTTAAACTTCCTAGTAATTTATGGAATTAGATTGTACATGAAATACAAAGTAAAATTTCTAATTAAACTCTTTTATTATTTTCTTTGATTAGTTTAATGCTTTTAATCTTATATTTTTCTCTATTCGGAGCTGAAAACTTTTATATTAGAATAAATATTTTATTTCATATTTAGACAAATTGTTGAGTATTAAGTTAAAATGCAACAGCAGTTTATTTTTGAAAATATCTATTTTAAGTGTCAGGAAAAAAAGAAGTCAAAATTCTAAATTAATAATGTAAATAATCTTTATTGTATAAATAATTTAATGTATTCAATATATAAATAAAATTCTAAACGTAATTAAATTTAATCAAAAATATGTTTTCTAACTAATCTGTTCTACTAAAAACGGGTTTTATTTTCCCCGAAGCTATTTTTCCCGAAATTTGATATTACCTCTCGAGCAGTCTCTTGGTGAGCATAAATAAAAATGATAAAAGTGTTGCAACATTAACGTTATTTCTAAGCATCGAACTTTTTTCAGACAATCTGTTTAATTTTACAATTTGTTTTATCTAACAGTGATAAAACTTTTAAAACGTAAAGATTAAATTTATTTTTTAAACGAACTTATGTTTCATTAAAAAAGAAAGTTAACATTTTCAAATTCACATTAAAGGCCTGGTAATTGTAAAAAAAAATAGTGATTTTCGTATCGAAGTTATTATTTTTTTTTAAAAAAAATAACAATAGTTAAATGTAATAATAGTCATTACAATATAGTATATTGTTAAATTTTTTTTAAAAAATAGGTCTTTGCAATAAAAACATTTAAAAAATTTTTTTTCTGAATATAGTAATAAATATAAGGGATGCTGAATATCGTTTTTTATTTTTATATAATGAATAAATTTTAAGGAATAGTGTTAAGGGTAAAGACGAGAACCACTTAATTTTTTTTAATAAAGGCAGTACTTTAATTAAATATTATTTGTAAAGAAAAAAAAAGTCCTTATGTTTCAAAAACCCATTTAATAATATTAAAGAAATGTGATTAACGAAAATATTTTTTTTCTCTCTTTCAAATACTCCGATTATTTGCGCATCGGTAATATCGTAATATCAAAATAAAGCGGTTTAAAAAAAAATTGTGCACCAGCATTTATGATACTGCGCCAAGTATTGCACTCTTTCCATCACGTGATTGTAGCTCTTTGCTTGCTATCTGTGTCTTTTCGGAAGGAATAAAGCGAGCTTGGTTCCTCTACCTACTATTTCAACTCTATGGCGAGCACCAGACCTCTTAATCTGTATTTTACCCTAGGGCGACGGTGACTAATGCCATCAAAATAAGTAGTAATTTCCACAGGAGGGCTGGGGACGCCTTGTGCGTGTGTGGCTTCCCGGCGAGCAGGGATCTAAGTAAATTGAGAAGTTCCTGGTCTTTCAGTAGCTGCTGCATCTCTTTGAAGATCAGCAAGAATCTGGTAGATGAATAGGAACTTCCCTTGGTTTTCTTTTGGGTCTCGCATATCGATTTCGGACATACCTACATAAAATGTGCGTCGGCACATTTCATAGACAAAGCTGCAATAAATTTGCATTCCCATAATATTTTGAATTTTTGATATGTAGTGGTGGAAAAAATTACTTTAAATGGAAAATTCTAAACTGAAAATCACTAAAGTATCGTTACAGCTCGAAAATATTTTTTTTAACAAAGCGGAGCAAGTTGACATTTCTGGTAATCACATAGAACTATCTTCTAGCTAATGAATTGTAAATTCATTTGTAGTATAATTTCATAGATTTTGAGCTTCTAAACTGCATCGGAAAGTTATTTATGTGATTCCAACTTCTTGGAACGTAGTAACTCTGGAACGGAGGGAGTAAAATCTTTGAGTTTTACATAATTGTCAAAGGCATGTTTAAAGCACTCTCAAAAAAATTTGTTGAAGCATTTTAACTCCACCACCCCTGAAGGATAAAATATTATTTAGCGACTTTTAATGCGTGTAATATTTTATTTGGAAATTTTACTGACAAATATACAAAAAATATATATTAAGTGGTATATATTAAGTGGTGATTGTGGCACATCTGCACAGAATTACAGCTCTTTTTTTCATCTTTCTTACCTTCGTACAGCTGCATCAGCTTCAATGAATCTTCTGGCCACTGTCAGCAGCAATCCGACAGTATATTCAGCAACAATGGAAACATATACAGGATTGGCATCATTAGTGACGATGATATTTCTGTTTTGTAAAGAAAGAAAAAAGAAAACGTAAGGTAATTCTAAATTAACAGTACTAAAAATTTTCTAAATTGACGTTAAATTACAAGTTTCAAAATTACCTTTTCTTACACGCAGAAATATCAATGTGTTCAAATCCCAAAGACATTGTGGCGACGATCTTTAATTGTTGTCCTAAAAAACGGCCACTTTCAATAAATGTACAGTGTTCCAAATAAAACAGTCTATCCTCAATACCTTTTAATCTAATGCTCGGATTTTCACGTTTTAAGAAGCACAAGTTTTTGCATCAGTTTAAATAAAATAATTTTATATGGCAAAATACAAAATTTGAGCAAAATAGGTTGAATAGTTTTGAGATAAAGTCATATATTTAAAATTGATGAAAGATATCTTGATTCGGCGAGAGTAAGGTTTTGTGTCTGATTTCGTAACTTAAAATATCGGGTGCACTTGTTAATTAGCATATTTGACGTCATCTCCTCGAACCATTTAAATTGAGTTCTAGAACATAAAAATCGAATCATTAAATAAAAAGTTATTCAGGGTGGTCGGATTTTTTTATTTTAAGCAATGTACATAGTCACAGTTATTTTTGAGTTACATTTTTAAAATAAAATAAAAAATTAAAAAGACCAATTTTTTGTAAACTTAATTTGGCGCCATATATCGTTAACCATAAAATTTTCACCATATTTTTAAACCAAATTTTCGTGCAAATCAGTTCTTGTTGAATTTGACTACTTTTTACTAGGGTTCGATTTGAATGAAACGTAGTTAAATTCGGCACCTTGTTAAGGTTTGCTTCAACTTTGCTCCATATTATGGTTGAATGTTGTACCGATTTTTTTCATCATCGAGTTCATCATTGATAAAATAGTGTAATTGTTTGATTTAAAATTCAATATTGATAGTTTTCTATACCAAAGGAAATTCATAATTAAAATTGATTCAAAAAATTATTTTTCATTTATTAAAAAATTCGTACAATGGCATACTAGAAAAAAGATTTTTATATGATCTATAATTATATTTTTTATTGTTTTTATCGAATAATTCTTTAAAAAAAAGATTTTTTTTTATAAATAAACAAGTTACCTGAAATGATTTAGGTAAAATTTTCAAAAATGCAACAAGCCAACCATACAAGGTTCTCATTTAGTAGCAAAATTTTTAAAAGTGTTAATGCATTAACATTTGTTCTAATGTTTAACATTCATTAATGTTTAACATTATTCTAATGTTTGTTAATGTTTAACATTTGTTTAGTAATTCTAAATGTTATTTAGAATTACTAAAGCATCGCCAAGTCACTGAAAGTCTTAATTGATCATAATCAGTTGGCTTAATCCTGGTCGTTGTTGCTTCGATTCAAAAATTGTGCAATTTCAAAGGAACATGAAAATATGGTTTTGAGATTATTTTGTTCTTCTGGAGGAAAGGTATATATTGGTAAGCAACGCCAATTGGCTATCCGTACTCCAATTTTGGCACAAATTATATTAAGTCTATATATTAAGTATTATATGCTTAATATTTTACATTAATTCACAGAATATATTATATTATAATATATTAAGTTTGCCCGAAAATTCTGTCCATGAAAAAAAAAAACGTCTCTTTTCAAGAATCATGCGTAGAAAAAAATGGCACGTTGATTCAGAGAAAGTACGTTTTTGAGTCTGATTTCGTAGCTTAAAATATCGTCTGCACTAACGTCTGCACTAACTAAAATATCGTTAGCACATTTGAGTTCACGCTCTCAAACCATTAAGAATGAGTCTTAAAACGTGAAGGTCTAATTATCAGATCAAAACTTATTTAGGGTTTAGTTTATTTACAATTGAGTTTAAAGGCAAATACCTTTCCACTTTTCCTTATAAAAGAACCTTTAATCTTTAACCTTAAGATCTACACTAAAAGGTGGATGGTAATATAGGGGGCAGAACGTTCCGGTAGATTTAATATAATTTTAGAATGGCCTAAAATTCTTAAATGATGCTCTTACAACCTTAACATTACCTGCTGCGTCTAATACTTTTTCATTTATGTCATCCGTTGATTGGCAGAATAGAGCGCCTGCCCCTTTTATGTGATCCAGCAAATACTTATCTGTAATCTTTTCAGGAAAAGGGTAACATTCTACATCAAATCTGTAAATAACAAATAAACAGTTTTTCTCAAATAGGCTTAATAGATATAAAACTGAAAATTGATCATAAAGTCTTTTCTCGCCTCCATTACCGCCTATCAGTTAATTCGTATAGAAAGTATACCCATATATGGCCGTTGATGGCCAGGGAGTTTAAGAGACGCCATTCCGAGGAAGAAAATTTTTGTCTGGAATTCTCTTTTTTCTTTATTACTAACTAGCTGTACCCTGCGTGCGTTGCAACGCTTTTAATTTGAATTTGAATTTTGTATTTAAGTGTGTAAATGACATTTGCGATTATGATTTGAAACGCAAATTTTATTTAATGGTGAAAAAAACCAGTGATAGTCTCAGCAGTTAATTCNTGTCTCCTCAAAACCATTAAGAATGAGTCTTAAAACATGAAAGTCTGATCATCAGATCAAAAGTTAATTAGGGTTTAGTTTATTTTCAATTGAGTTTAAAGGTACATATCTTCCCACTTTCCTTTGTAAAAGAACCTTTAACATTACTCTAAAAGGTGACGGGTAATATTGGGGGCAGAACTTTCCGGCAGACTTAATATAATTTTAGAATAAATTAAATTTTTAAATTTTTCAACCTTAATCATACCTGCTGCGTCTAATACTTTTTCATTTATGTCATCAGTTGATTGGCAGTATAGAGCGCTTGCTCCTTTTATGTGATCCAGCAAATACTTATCTGTAATCTTTTCTGGAAAAGGGTAACATTCTACATCAAATCTGTAAATAACAAATAGACAGTTTTTCTGAAATAGGCTTCACGAATATAAAACTGAAAATTGATCATAAAATCATTTCTCGCATCCATTTAACACATACCTGCCAACTTTCACTCTTTCTGAGAATGAATTTTCCAAGTGGTAGTAAAACAACTACCGAAAAACAACCTTACTCTAAAATATATCTATATTTTGACTAGGTTAAAATTCGCTATCGTTAAGATTAGTATGCTTTTACACATTTGTTGTAATTATTTAAACGTAGTGGTGGTCAAACTTATTTATAATTATTATTATAATTCGAAAAATTTAATGACATGACATGAGTTTCGGTACCACTTTAAATACAAAATTAAAATCTTCCGGAAAAACCGGAAGAGTTGGCTGGTGTGCATAACATATCAGTCCTAGTGTTTTGATTTTATTGGGCACCTGGGCCGCGAAGCGGCCCCTATCCCATTCATCTGGAATTTTATAACAGTTTTGGTTGAGCAATGAGGTGAGCAGGCAATGGAGTTGCTGCGTAACATATCAGAAAAAGTGTTGAATAGTATATGCCTACAACTTTTTTAGAAGTAGTGGTGGATATAAATCTACTAAATAATTTTGACTTCACCGGTCAAACCGTGGGGCTACGAACAAACTCAGTGCCGGTCATCGGTGACCCCCATTTCATTCAACGTGTTAAGTTGAGCAACATATACAGATATAACACTGCATCATCTGTACTAAGATCCAACGTATGCGTATAAGTAGCAAACTGTTAGTCAGGAGGTACGTCACAGTCGTTGGACAACTCTATATGTATGGTTGGGTACGTTGCCTCCCGCCGACCGTCATTTTATTCTTTCTTTCTATGTCAAAATCTGTTTGCAGATTTAATCAACATGGTTGATATAAATGTATTCTCAAAGAAATATCTTAATTAAAAGAATAGTACTGTTTTCCAATTGTGTAAATATGAAAACCAACAATAAATAGGGTCTTCAAACTTCCTATAAATAGGGACTCCTCCCCAACCTATGCAGTGGTTGGGAGGAGAGAACTTCTGTTGTGTCCCTAAATGTTGTTTTTACCTTTATATACAGAGACAGCACCAAACTTTGGCACGGGCTGGTTTACATTATAGCCAATAGAAGCTAACCTTCTTCTCCTATAGTACTGTTCGTAATTATATGGTTAGTTAGTTGGCTTCACCCTGTCCCACCCCCATTTCGGGGCATCCAGGGAATACTATTGAAGGATCGGTTTAGGCCAGATCCTCCATTCTGTTTTCAAAAAGTCTTTTAAAAATCTCTTCAATTCCTTTGTTTAGTTTCTTTTGGTTCCAGTCTCTTTTAATGGTATCAAAGTTGAAATTTCTCGGAAAAAATTTAATTCTTAAATCATCATAAACTCGACAGACAGTAAGTATGCGTTCGATATCTTCATAAGTTTTACAAACTTTGCAGTTCGGGTCTTATTATATGGTTAAGGCTTGGTAATTATAGAACAAAAGGAAATATTAGAAATCACTCCTATGTAATTAAAAATTTTATTAGCTAAATGTTTAGTAATGGCATTCTCTTAAGAATTTCAGATATTTGGTAAAAATATTGTAATATGAATTTTTTAAATAGAAGGTGTGAAAGAATTTACATACCTTGACGCAATAGTCGGACAATGGAATTTCAAAAGCACACTATTGTTTTGAAATTTCGACGATCAATTAATTTAATGATTAAGACTAAAATTAGTAATATAATTAACATGGAAACTAACAAAACTACATCATAAAAATCTACACAGTTAGAAAAGCAGATGTTTAAAAAATATTCTGAAAATGTTCTGGCCTCACGCCATATCTAATTCAGACCTTCACAATAAAACCAAACAGTAATCAATCAGCCGTAATGGTAAGAAGTTAAAAATGCGAATGGAACACATTTTGAGAATGCATTTCACAAGAATACCATAACGTGGGCACCAGAAGGGCACCTTAACGTGGGCACCAGAAGGGCAAGCGAAATAGAGGCCTATGTTAATAGCCATTATTTCGAAAATCAGACAAAAATCTCAAATTTTGATAGTTTATATAAATTTTTTTTCGTAATATTTGATTGGCTAGATTTTTTTATATCGAAGTAGGGTATGAAGAAAGAAAATGGTGAAATTTTCATCTCCTATGAAATTTCCCTTCCCTGTAATATTTTTCGAAATTCAAGGTCATTTCTGTAACCCTTTCGCGCCGACTGTCACAAATACGTGCCAGCATAAAACCGTATCAATCAGGGTAAAAAGATAAAACTGGTAATCAAAGTATTTCTTTAGCAGTTTATTTGTGGGCGGAGTTATAATTGTTTGATTTATTTAATTGACCATTGTTTTGTTCAAAATAAAACTATTTAGTTATACTTTGAATCAACATTGATTATATATATATATATATATATATATATATGATAAAACTAACAATAATTAAATTAAAATCAAAGTTAGTCTGTCAAATAAGCAACGACTACATTTAAGTTACCGTTTTTTATTTAATTACAACTTGATTCTGATTTTGTACGAATGCTTTTCTGAATCACCCGTCCCCAAGGGGTTAAAAGCGTAATAAATGTATGTTTAAAAAAGTTAATCTAAAAAAAACCCTCATAATTTTGTTTTTCTTTATTATTAATATATTGCTGTCTAGTTAAGGACATGCACTCGTTTCCATTGGACTTCGGGGCATTGTAAAGTTTTAGAATTATGCTCTTCCGAAGTAAGTGAAAAATTCAGTTTTGACGCTTTTCTGCCCTAAAAATAATGGTTAGATATAATATATTTGTTTTTGTTTAGAAAAATACTTCAGGCCGATGGGAATTAACAAAAACAATTTGTGTCTTCCATCTCTTTTATACACAACTTAAATTCCACTTAGTTGTAACCACGGTGTATATTTAAAAACTTTACAGAATGAATAAACATAATCACAGTTATTTGATACGAAAACTTGCCAGTTCTTTTTCCATTTTAACTGGTTTTACAATAATTTCACTCTTACTTTTCTTCTTCGCGAAACGAGACATGCCTATCCACTATGATATAGTCAGGGCAGACAACTCCTACACTTTTTACAAAATATTTTACAGAGTGGTATACAATTAAAAACCCACGTTTTCTAAATTTTTAATAACATGTATTTTTGACAACATCTTAAAAACCTAAACACGAGAGAGTTAAATTAAAGAGGCGTTTCATATGAACTCTTGCTTGAATCATTTACATGTAGTGGTATAGAAAGTAACTTTAACACGTTCACGCCGGGAAAAGTGAAAATACTGGTAGAAGAACTATTTCAATATCAGATAATATCAAGGAGGAGTTAATCTATTCTCAACAATAACAATTCACTGTAAAGAAATTTAATACGGCGAAGAAGCAATTCAATATAAAAATTTCATCCGTTAAAAACAATTGGTAGTTATAGATTTTTATTATTCCCAGAAAAAAACTAAAAAATAAAATTTATTGTTACCAGTTTTCCGGTGCGCTGCCAAGATGAGACAATCTTGCGTGACCCACCGGTGGGTCACCCCGACGTGAACGTGTTAAATCAAATTTACGAAACAAAATATCATGCCTAAATCTTAAACTTGCACTAGAAGAAATTTTTCAAAATATCGTTAAAAACTGACAGATAATAAATATTAATAAGAGCTAGCTTTTAGGAATAATTTATAATCATAGGAGTATGACTTTTAGAAAAATTAAGTGATAGTTTCCGAATTGAAATTGCCAGTTATCTGTAAGCGTTTAAGAAATACTACTCTTTTATAATATCCATTTTCATATTATTGTAATCTAAAATGTTTGGTTTTAACCAATCAATGTTAAACAGCAAAAAGTATTATATTTATGCCAAGAAAATAATTCTCTTTGTTATCTAGCACTTTAGCTTTTAAAAAATGTGTGCTGACTTTAGCTTTAAATTAAATTATTTATGCTATAAAATATATTTTGATTGACAGAAGCATTTTGTGTCTGCAAACGATATTGTAAGAATGAATATTTTGTTCCACCATTTCTCCTTTTTTGCAAAACAAATAAAAGTTCTCTTTGTTATCTAGCACTTTAGCTTTTAAAAAATGCGTGCTGACTTTAGTTTTAAATGAAATTATTTATGCTATAAGATATATTTTGATTGACAAAAGCATTTTGTTCCTGCAAACGATATTGTAAGAATGAATATTTTGTTCCACCAATTCTCCTTTTTTGCAATAAAAATAATAATAATGGTAATTTTTTAAAAAGATGTTCTCCACAAATCACTTTAGGAAGTAATACTTTTAAAATGCAGTCCAGTATAATTATAAAAGTGGTAGCAAACTCTATATTAAAATTTTTTTTTAATATTACTCGACATTTATAAACAAAATAAGCTTGAATGGTATACACAAGTTCTGACAAAACATTGTGAAAAATATTTAAATTTGAAAGTCAGCTAAATCAGAGAAATTTCCACTAGTTATAATTTATTTACTATCCATTTAATGTTCTAGGTGGATCGGTAGCAGAGTTGGCCAAAAATGTAATCGATTACATTTTTTGATTACAGTAATCAATTACTTGTAATCATGATTACAANGTCTATAGAGGACAGACAGACAGACATACACACATTCACTTTTATATATGTAGATTTAAAATTTAAAGTATTAAAAAAGAGAGTTCAGACAAACCAAGAGTAAGCTATGAAGTTTCAAATACTGAAAATTAAGTTTTAAAACATACAAATGAAACTAAATTATGAGATGATATCTTAGGATAAAGTAACGTAGAAGTTCTCTTCTAATAATTTGTTAGCATTTTAATAATTTCAAGTATTTTTTTTTCTTCATCAATTGAAACTTCATGACGAAATGCATAGGTTTGCCTGAATCACTTTTTGTTTTTTTTTAAATGTTAAATTAGTGATGAAGGAGAAAGAAAATTCGAGACGAAAATTTTATTCCACAGTATGGTGCCCTTCTTATGCATAGAATATAAAAAGAGAAGATATTCAGTTCTTTGAATACGTAACTGTATACGTAAAGTATACGTATACATAAATCGGTGAACTGCTCGGTGAAAGATGCTATCACAGAAAAATAGTTTACGGTGAGCAACATACTCAAATACAACACTGCATTATATGTACTAAAATCCAGCACATGCCCATAAGAAGCAACCTGACAGTCAGGAGATACGTCACCTGTGAACCGGTCGTTGGATTACTCTACATCTATGGTTGGGTACGTTGCCTTCGTCTATGGTTGGGTTCGTTGGATACGGTCTGTGTCAAAATGTGTTAGCAGATTTAATCTACACGGATGATATAAATGTATTCTCAAAGAAATATAATTAAAAGTATAGTACTGTTCTCCAATAGTGCAGAAATGAAAACCAACTAAGAGTAAAAGGGAAGTAAAAACTAGGGAGTAAAGAATGGTGCAAATCCGTGTTAGGAACTTCTGTTGCTCTGCCTCTAAATTTTTTTTAAGTTTTATATACAGAGATAGTACCAAAACTTTGACGCAGGCTGGTTCACATTATGCCTATGAAAAACCTTCGTCTCCTATAGTACTGTTTGCAATGGATGGTGTTTTCAATATAAATATAAACAATAACAACCTCGAGCTCCTTACCTGCTCCAGTTCTGGTTAGAAAGTTTGAAGCTGCTTACTACAGCTTATTATGCGAGGCGATATTTTCAAATGGATAATTTTATTTTCAATAAAAGAAGTAAATTGGATAATTTCTGAGCTCAAATCTGCCTTATTTCATAAGATGTTAATGTTATTAAGTAATTCTGGTGAGTTTGAAGTTAAAATTTGTTTTAGTTATTTGTGGATTTAATGTTAAAAAATGTGACATGGTTGCTTGATTTTGAAAAACTCGCTTTTTTGCCAGTCCTGATGTAGCCTCTTTTCATTACTTAATTACTCTTTGCAAGCTATACTTCATCTTACATTAGAGTAAGCATATTGAAGTCTTAGAATTCATTGTAAAACACAAGTAGTAAGTAAACAGATACAACGTTTGCAACAACTGCTATTCGAAGGAATCTCAAAACACAATGATCACGTTGTGAGCCAAATGGCTTCAAAATACACCGGAATCAGTAACCCGGATGTATAGGCGGTAAAGAGCCTGCAGCACTTCTTAGTGTAGAAAACACCATCCATTATATGGTTAATGCTTGGTAATTTCACGTCAGAAGGAAATATTAAAAATCACTCCTAAGAAATTAAAAATTTTATTATTTAAATGTTTAGAAATCGCATTTTCTTAAGAATTTCAGAAATTAGATAATGATGGTGCGCTGTTATGGGGACGTTTATGCGTCTCCCAGACCTTCAACTTTTTAGGCATAAAAGCTATTTTATCTAATAATCGCTTGGAAGAGAAATAATTGATTCCGGTAATGGGGGCGCACTCGGTCTGATTTTTCGCCGTATTGAAAGGGTTAAATCAAATTTACGAAACAAAATATCATGCATTAAAACTTAGCTGCCACTTGAAATTTTTTTCAAGTGGCAGCGAGAATTTTTTTTCAAATATGAAACAGTCTAAAACTGGCAGCTATTAATGATTAATTAGAACTAGTTTTTAAGTATAATTTATAATCATGAAATTCTGAATTTTTTTATAAAAAAATTAAGTGCTAGTTGCCAAATTAAAATTGCCACTTATTTTAAGCATTTATGAAATACTACTCTGTTATAGTACCCATTTTCACATTATTATAGTGTAAAATGTTTGGTTTTTACCAATTAATGTTAAGCCGCCAAAAATTTTATAATTATTTATACCAAGCGGATAATTCTCCTTGTTACCTACCACTTTAGCTTTAAATAAAATGTGTGTTGTCTATAGTATTAAAGTATTTATACTATGAACATACTTTGGTTGACAAAAGCATTTTGCTTCTACCAACGACATTGTAAGAAAAAATATTTAGTTCCAACATTTCTCCTCTTTTGCAAAAAAAAAAAATAATAATAGTAATTTTTTAAAAAGATGTTCGCTACAAATCGCTTAAGGAAGTAATACTTTTTAAATGCAGTCCAGTATAATAATAAAAGCGGTAGCAAACTCTATATTACAATTTTTTTTTAAATATTACTCGACATTTTTAAACAAAATAAACTCAAATGGTATATACAAGTTCTGACAAAACATTGTGAAAAACATTTGAATTTGAAAGTCAGCTAAATCAGAGAAATTTCCACTAGTTATAATTTATTTACTATCCATTTAATGTTCTTGGTGGATCGGTAGTAACCGTAACTTTTCTGGGCAGATGACAATAACTTTTCTTTAATTAGGAATTTTTAAATCAAGTCATTTAATATGTTGTTTTGTTGTTAATTAAGTATATTTTCTTTTTTAAATATTGAGACAAAAATAACTTACTTTTCACTCAACAATGTGAATGCACATTTGGGAAAATCACTCCTGGTGACAAAAACTTTCTGTTTACTCATGTCCTTAAATAGTTTGAATTCTATGTTCCAAACAAGAAGACAAAACGGATACACTTAGCGCTCAAAATTTATGGAATACCAAGAATATCAAAAATGTTAACTTAATAATAATCTATTGAACCTGAAGTGAAAAATGATGATTCGATGAATAGATAAGATTATGATGTCATAAAAACGAAGATAGCAAAATTACTTAACCCATGGCGGTAGTTAGAGTAAACAAACTTACACAGATTGTGGAGATTGATCTGAAACAGTGGTCTATAACCTCTGATCCACACTCAATCCATTGAAGCATTGGGTCAGTTTGATTGAACGGAACTTTTGGAGCACACTCCAAGTTGTTCTGACGCTGCCGTTCGAAAACAGACAGAAAAGTTTAAACGGTTTTGATCTTAAGAGAAGAAGTGAGATATTCACAAAGATATATATAATTCTTTCTCGTATACATCTTTTACTTAATTTAGATTTGTCATTTATATGTGTATTTTATTGTAACAGTAATATATTTTTGTTTCGTGTACCTGGCAAGTTAGATGTATAATTAGTTTGTTTAAGTTTTTCATGGCTTCATGCTTGTTTTTATGTAAAGTAAGAAATTTATAGTGAAAGAATATAGAGTGTGTGGCTTGAGAGAATTGATACTTTTCAGACTTGGCTTACTCGAAGTAGAATGAATAATTTATTCATATTCATTTAAGAAAATGGAATCGAGCTCATTTGCATCAAATAATTCATGAATTACTTAATGTAAATGAGCTTGAGTCCATCTTCATTAAATAATTCTAACAGTTATGACACCGCATGGTGCTGTTTTTGAAGATTTGGCTTTACAGAACAATACCGTTGTTTCTGAAAATATAATCGAAGTCTTAAGATTGCATGAATAAACAATTTTATCCTATTCATTCTGATCTGCTTCCAACTTCGCAGACACTCATTTTGATCTTTGTCTAGATTTTAAACTGACAGACGATATTATAAATGATGAAAAGACATTAAAAATGTATTATTTTTTCAGATTTAATAAGTTTAAATTTTCTTACAATTTATTTTCAGCAATTGTACATAGCATTGACCCGTTCAATATCACTTTTGGTCATTCCTTTCTTCTTGAAAGGGTCTAACAAAACCTGCCCGTTTCTGGCCACCATGGTGTCTTTTCCATTCTTGGAGAAGGCTGTATTGCCGTAAATCATAATGGAATCGTAGTCAAACGGGTTGTACAAGATATTTTGGTATGGAGTAAGCTTGAAAAAGGCATGTTCCAAACCTAAGCGTAAAAAAATGTTTAGATATTTTACATCAAGCATGTCAAAAAAAATTTATTAAAGATTCATTTATTACATTAATAAAGGCTTAGCCCTTTAATGGGCCAATTGTTTCTAGTAAAGGTAAATTAAAGTATTTTTGGAATTGAAATTGTTTTAAGAACAGTAATTGGTATAAGAAAAAAAAACTCATTTAGTTTATAAAAATGCCGTTTTTTTGGTGGTAAATATATTTAACAAGACCTATTAGGAACTTATTGACTTTTATTTTTCTTTGTATATAAAATAAATTTTATAAATGCTACAAACTTCAAAAGAAATTATGTATTTTATAACTTTTATACGTTTTTTTAAACTAACAAATGGTTACCAATTTTACTCAAACGCTCTTCAAGAAAGCTGAAGTTATTAACAAATGGAAACCTAAATTAATAGCTGTAAAAAGTGGTGGTAAGTATACTTACCACGGCCTTCCAAAGGGTTAAAATCTCATTAATAAAATGTGATTTTTTTTCCAACAAGAAATAAGAAAGAATTAAATGTAGCAAAATATTTTTTAATTCATTTAGTATTTCAGTTTAAGAAATTTCAATTTAAATAAGAGATTAAATGTTAAACAAATATTAATTATAATGAAGCCCTTAACAAATAAACCAAACTTGAAAATTTAGCGCATTACTTAAAAATGATAATAATAATTGTTCCATAGCAAAATATTGTTGCACCATAGAAATGTTAAGAGTGGGAAGCATTTCTCTAATATTATAAACCTTCTTGCATTTCATTGTGGTCTTTTTTCGCCGCGTGAGATAGAATGGGATTTCTTTAAATGAAGAGGATTTCTTAAACTTCCGAAAAATATTGAATGGATAAAAATTTATTCATAAATTTTTATTTCTTGAATTCATGATCATACAGTCCCTGGCCAAGTTATTAGACTCACACTAAGATTCTTAGTAACATTTTAATTATCAGTTGATACTATGCAGCTATATTGTTTTTAAGCGACTGAAACCGGTTTGATTTTGTTTACGTTCGTGTATCAATTGGTTAAATTGGGTATGTAAAAATGAAAGTATTGGGAAAAATAAATATAAAATATATATTATATCAGGTATTACATTAATATATTATAATACGGCCGGGATAGCCTGGTTGATAGGGCACTGGGCCCATGTCCAAGAGGTCGTGGGTTCGATCCCTGCCGGCCGAAGACTCCATGTGTTCCCATAACAAATCAATACCTCTGGTAGAACTATCCAGGAGTTTCCTTGTCTTCTGGATTAGTTCAAAATTACAAGGCTACGGAGTTGAACATTAGTAGTCGTAAACCCAAAATTGGGTCGGCTGTTCAAGGACGGTTATAAAATATAAAATAAAAAATATATTATAATGAATGACGATGGCTCAGGGGATAGAGCGTTCGCCTTCCAATGAGGCGAACCGGGGTCGAATCCCAGTTGATACGAATTCCGCATCCGGCTTGCGTTGACCACAGTGCTGACGTGAAATATCCTCAGTGGTAGACGGATCATGGGTTAGAGTCCCCTTGCCGTCAGGCAAACCGTGGGAGGTTCTCGTGGTCTTCTTTCCCATGTAACGCAAATGGGAGTTAGCTCCATCAAAAAGTCCTCCACGAAGTCAAATTTCTCTCAATACTTGATCCAAGAGCTCCCTTGTCTTCTGGATTGGGTTCAAAATTACAAGGCTACGGATTTGAATATTAGTAGTCGTAATCCCATTAAATTGAGTCGATTGTTCAACGACGGTTATAAAATAAAATATATTATAATAATTAGACCAAATTATTAGACGCCCTGTAGTTTTTTAATAATTACATGTTTTGCACGAGTTTATATGCAGTGCTTTTATCTTTAAACATACTTGTAATGAATTTTTATTCAGGAGATTTTTTATATTATTCCGATTTGTATTTATTTGTAACGTATTGCATTACAATGTTAGCCTTGGTATACGAACGTTAAAAAGTGCAAACCGTTTTCTGTCAAATAGCAGCAATAAAGGCTTACAGTATCACCTACTGATAATTAAGATTTTACATAGAATCTTATAGTGCGTCTAATAATTTAAACAGGGACCGTATTTTACAATGACTATTCGTAATTTCTACTTATACAAACTGTTACTTCATATTACTATGAGCAAAAAAAATGGGAATTCTTTAAATCAAATGAATTTTTTAAGCTACCGAAAATATTGAATGGATAGCAAATTATTCATAAATAATCTTATCAATTTGTAATACCTTTAAATAAAGAAAATTAAAAATCAATTAAAAAATTATTTTATTTACGATACAAATACTCACCATTTTGTACATTTTCTAGGTAGAGGATCAAATATTTATCTCTGTCTGATCTGCTCTGCTCGTGGAAGAATCCAAGCGCATGCCCCAACTCGTGAACGACTGTACCTATATAGTGGCACCCGTAACCAAGAGATAAATCCTGTGCACCACCAACTGTGCCCACTTGAGAATAGCACCTATAATTAGAGTCAGGATTGAGATGAACATAGTAAAAATACATTTTAATTATCAAGTGTAATAATCATTCCTGTTATTTATCTATTTCCTTTCATTGTACAGATCACGATATATTGTAGATAGATTGTTTCTTTATCTGCTGTAACAGATATTTTTAGAAACCCTGCCTACATTTATTTCCAAAATAAGCAAGCAACATGCCTTAGTGGAATGTAATTGTGTAGTGGTAGATACGCTACAGTACTCCCCCTCCAGAATTATATCTGTGATAGAATTCGATACACGGATACTACTAGTTGCTGTGTTTGTTACAGACCGGGATAATTGGATTAAGGCCACCGGGTTTTGAACATTAGTCATGAAAGCTGCATTAAGATCATGGTCATACCTGCCAACTCTTCCGGAAGATTTTATTTTCATATTCAAAGTGGTAGTAATTATATACTATTTTTTCCTTTATAATCTTAATTGTTAAATGATATTGATCACCACTATTCTTACAAAAATTAAGCACATAAATTAATATGCGTTACTATCATGGTTGTCAACTTAAGTTTTCTCAAATACAACGCATTTGTTTGCTGAAAATTGAAGTTTTAATTCCATTTTAATACCACTGGGAAAAATAATAATGGAAGGGATTAAAAGTTGACAGGTATGCATAGTTGCTCCTATGTTGCCTTTAGCAGTCTAGTGGATTCGTTGTGAGTAGTATGTGGGGCACTATAGACACGGAAGTGAAGTCAACCGGAGCTTATTTCTGCCCCAACCGGAAGTTGCTTATTTCTGCCCACCTACAGACCGGAAGTTGCTTATTTCTGCCCACATACAAACCGGAAGTTGCTTATTTCTGCCCACTTGCTTATTTCTGCCCGCCTGAAAATCGAAACTTCGTCTGCAGCGTCATGGGGAGCTTATTTCTTTTTTTCTTAAGCCTAATATATTTTTAGTTTCGGTTTCTGTTTTTAATTTAGTTTCGTTCTTTTAAATATTATTTAATTTATTAGTTTTTGAGGGTGGCAACACTTATTATTTTAATATTAGTTTTTAAGGATGGCAACATTTAGAAACTTTGTTATTTGGGGGAGAAATTGTGTATTATGAAGTTATGACGTCATCTTTTATTACATAACACATAAATGATATCATGCTTTTGATCTAGTGGTGCCATCTATGTGAGAATAAAATAACTTTAAATCTATTTTAATATTTAAATTTATTTTATTATTTAATATAAATATAATTAAGGCTGAGGATCGAACTCACGCCATCAAAAAGCCTTCGTGGGTTAGTAGTTGGATATCATAACCACTGACCTACGAATGCTTGGTGAGATATGTACAAATAAGTTAGACCTTTATATATTGAACACAATCAAATGTCATTTTTGAACCCTGAAGACAAGCGAACTCCTAGATCTTGAAACAATGCATGTCTTCGAAGAGGGCTTTGAGACGTTGTCTAAAGAGGAAAACCACGAAAACCTTCTATGATTAATCCAACGACAAGAAGGGGGTTGTGAAAACTGAACAAATGGTTTTGGTTGCACCTAATTTTTAGTTTTGAAAGACGCATTAATATAGATATTTAATGAATATAAATTTTATTTTAATGAAAAAAAATATCTAATTTAAAAAAACTAATATATAACAATATATCTGCGGTGTTCATTCAATCAAATATTTAAATACATTAATAAACATTATTAATATATATATATATATTTGTTTTATCTTTAAACTTATAATTTTATCAACTAAAATAATTTAATTTTATTAAAATATAAAATTACTTATTTTTTAACATTAAGAAGAAAAAAATTTCAGTTAGTTTAATTGTTATTAGAAAATGAATAACTACATATTTACCTTACATTATCAATTTTAGATAAAATTACTTTACAATTTCAGAAGAATTATTTGAAATCTAAGAAACATGTAATGGGGAATTTTCGCTGCTATAAATTAATTTACACATTCATTTTATTATTCATTTTATTTAATATTATAATAATGCAAATAACTTACTTTATTTTCAAATTAAGAGTATATTTAAAAAGTATCTTTACGGATACTGATTACGGAACTTGGGAGAGCCATGATTTTTATTTCTCACAAAATTTTTACAAAGATAAGTTCTGGTCACGACGATTTAGCTTTATCTATATCAACTAATTAGAATCACAAGTTTAACATATTAGTTTATACTGATATCAGAGTGTGGGTTTCTCATGAAATGTAAGAAGATAACTCTCACAGTGTGTCATTTGAGTTTTATCCGGATAGGAGGATTTTATCAATATGTGAAAGTATATCACTGTTTATTGATCGTGGGATTATAACTCTTTCTCACAAAAATTGACAAGATAGGTATGCATTGAGTTTTATCTTTATTTTATTAGTTAATCACAACCGTGCGGATATAGCTTATATACATACACGAGGGTATGGGAAGAACATAGTTAGAGCTTATCTGTATAGATGAGTATTGATAATAATCAGTATATAGAGAGCTGCTTCGTGGTAAACTATTAAGTTGAGAATATTATACTAGGCGTAGTGGTATCGTTAGGATTAGTTTATTTTGCCGAGTATATTCGGTGTGTTCGTCTTATAAAGGATAAAGCATGTCAAAGCGATCAAGAGATTCTGAAAAAGTAAGAAATATTTCTTTCGTTATTTTATAAATCAATTTCTAGTTAAATTAATTGTTTTTTTATTTTACTTATTGATTAATTTTTCTATATTATTTAAATTAAATGAAGCATCTTAAGTTTAATTATTTGTTATTTATATTTCATTAAATAATAATTTACATACATATTATATTGTTTCTGTATGGCGATAAGTACGATGTAGAACTTTGTTAAAACATGCTATTGAAATTATTTACCTTTGAGTTTTGATTTTATTTCATTTAAAATTCTTTTGTATATTTGAGTTAATAAGCTGTTTTTATTTATAAAATTCGCAAGGTTATTTTTATACAACATTTGTATGTTTGAATTATTTTACTGCTTTTTTTTTGTTAATTTTATTGTGAAATATTTTTTTATTTTTATAGTATGATGATGAGGGAAGTGAATTTAATTTTAATGAAACAGGTTTCGAGTTCAATGAAATAGATGATGAGGTAATAATAGGTTATTTTATTTTATTTTATTTTTGTAGAAAAAAATATTAATATCAATTTAACATAGTTATTTTTTAATCTACAATTTTTATTATAGCTTTTGGGAGAACTCACGCAAGAATTTTTCGAAGATGATAAACATTTAATCGGAGATATCACGCAAGGTTTTGCGGAGGCGACTCAGGTGTTTCAAAATTTACCACTTTATTTCCAAGTGGGATCGGGATTTGAGGTAATACTTTAATTTGTAATATTCTGTGACTTAAAAATTATATATGTAAGAAAGTTTTCCTAATAATATTATTTTCTTTTCAATTGATTTAGTGGGGGAATTCTCTTTTTATTACAATGTTATTTATTAACCTATTGATTCTTTTTTATTATATCAGACACAACCTGGACCCTCTAAGGAAGAATCAGCATATGTAGAAGGAGTACAGACTACAGCAGCTGAAGTGAGTTTTTTCATTTAATGTTTCATTTTATAGACGGAGTTAAATCTCTGTTTTCGTTTTGCATTCTTAATTATTTTCTTAAATGTTTTATTGTTATAAAATTTTATTATTGACATATTTTTTGAATTAAGCAAACAGAAAGGGTTGGGTCATATTTTATTAATTTTTCAATATGTACTTTTTCGTCATAGTTTAACTATCTTTTGTTTTTTATTATTCAGAATTTAAAGCGTAAAATTGATGATGGTCCGCAGCCAAATACGACTAAATACTTTGATGAAGAGGAGAAGAGACAACCTGTAAGCTTAATTACTTTTTATGGTTACATTTAAAATTAATTACATGTAACAAGTTTTCTGATTTATTTTTTTCTTTTCCTATTAGAATGTTAAGCGAAGAAGGTCTTCTGTAGACGATGAGAATGAAGATGTATGTTAGAGTTTTTTATGTTTGTTAATTATTATTATTATTCTAAATACAAGACATTAAATATATGTTTCCTTTTTATTAGCATTTTCTTAGGTTCAATTTGATTGAGAGGAAGAGACGCTCTGTGAAGAAGTATGATAGCGATGAAGTAATTTATGATGTGATTTTCACTTCTGAGCCCAACGGTGTTTCGTTGCGTAAGGTTCACGAAGGGATATACACTCTTTTTTCACGGATCATTGATCAGGCTACTGTTAATTTAAATCCCCACGATCTCATTAGAATATTAATCAACTCAGGAGTTTTGAATAATCCACTCTCCATAAGACTAACCCCTGTTGCAGAAATTACACCGGAAAAAATAATAGCTGAAATAGAAAAAGTTGCCCAATCAGGGAAAGATATTAAGTTTGATTCTTCGTTAAAAATTGACATCGTGACAATCAGAAGACCCAGAGGCAGCGGTAGAGTTAAGGTAACGAATCTCGCTCAAAGTGTCATTATTAAGAAAGGAGTGATTGAAATTAACAACAGGGATGATCTTTGTTGCGCTAGAGCTATTGTTGTAGCCCTCTCTTATCTTAATAACGATGTGAGGAAGACGCATATTAGAAGAGGAGATAGGCCCCTGCAGAGAAAGTTAGCACTGGAGCTACATGAAAAAGCTAACGTGCCCCTAGGTTCTTGTGGATTCACTGAAATAGAGATGTTTGCTCAAGCCTTGGATGTTCAGATTTTTGTCATAGATGCTGGAAATTTCAATAAGGTGAGATTTACTTGTACTGTAATGAATATTTCTTAATTTCAATAAGGTGAGATTTACTTGTACGGTAATGAATATTTTTTATTGAATTCAAACTAAAATTTTGCTTTATTTTCCTCCCGAATATTGATGTAATTTTTTTCTTTAGATTGTACATAGAGGCTTGGAGAGAGAGAGGAAGCTGTATCTATGGAAGATCGAAAACCATTACCATGCTATAAATAGCATGACAGCTTTGTTAGGAACATCGTACTATTGCTCCTTTTGTGATTTAGGTTACAAAAACCTCTCGACACACAGATGTAAAAATCGATGCCATACGTGTTTCAGTGATAATTGTAAAGCAATATCGAGAATCAGTTGTCCAGACTGCAACAAAATTTGCAAATCAAAAGAGTGTTTTGACAGACACAAAGAAATAGGAAAAAAGCAAAATTCTTTTTGTGATCGATTTGGCTTGTGCCCTGACTGTTACAAAATTTATAAGAAGAGTTCACCCCACATTTGTGGCCAAACATTTTGTAAAAATTGCAAAAAAAATTGTGATCCTATGGAGCATTTATGTTTTATTAAGAGGAAAGAGAGAAAAACTGCACATCATGAAAAATATATATTTTTTGACATTGAAGCTGATCAAAGTTCAGGAGAACACTTAGCAAACTTTATCGTGATGCAGTATTTCGATGGAACTGAAAAGGTGTTTTCAGGGTATGACTGTCTGGATAAGTTTGGGGAATTTTTATTTTCTGCAACACACAAAGGATATACAGTCATCGCACATAATATGCAAGGGTATGACGGTATGTTTCTTCTTAATTACCTAATACGACAGTCAGTAAAACCCAAAGTGATCATGAGGGGTTCTAAACTTCTTTGCATCACAGTACAATCTTTGAGCATAAGAGTGATTGATTCTCTCAATTTTTTTGCGATGAGTTTAGCAAAGCTGCCCAAAAGTTTTGGACAGGAAGAGGTGAAGAAAGGGTATTTTCCTCATCTTCTCAATACCAAGTAATTATTTTCTATATTTTTTTTGTACTCTGTTTTCTTTATCAAAAATAAATTAAATATTAATTTTTATTTGTCCTTTTAGAGAGAATCAAGAATATTTGGGGTTGATACCGAATCGCGAGATGTACTGTTATAATCAAATGAGTCCAGACGAACGTGTTAAGTTTATGGAGTGGTATGACGAACACAAGTTTGAAACTTTCAATTTTCGGAAGGAAATAGACGAATATTGCAGGTAATGAACTATTAATTGAATTGTAATATACTTGAACAATTTAATGCCAGTATTTAATTTTTCATAAGATTTTTTTTCTTTTTTTTTTTTTTAGATCTGACGTAGACATTCTGCGAAGATGTTGTTTGAAATTTAGAGAAGAGTTTATTTCTACGAATAAGACAGATCCCTTCACCTTCGTAACGATTGCTTCAGCTTGTATGGGTGTGTATACCAGTTTACACATGAAAGAAAATACAATGTCTGTGATGCCCCCAAACGGCTATGTAAATAATACCAATGCTAGTGAAATAGCAGCCCAATGGATAGCCTACATGGAAAAAAAGAGACAGGTACAATTTGTTTTAAATTTTCAATTTATTCTAAACCCTTTACTTTTAAAGTTGTTAGAGTTATTCTTACTTTTGGTTTTAGGAAAATGTATACAAAGTTCACAGAGAGATAGGGGTGAAATTAAGATACGAGGGTACTTCGTAGATGGATATCAACCTGAAGAAAAGATAATATACGAATTTCATGGATGTTTTTATCATGGTTGTGACATTTGTTTTCACGATGCTTCCATTCACCCTCTCTATAACCGTCCTATGTGGGCAATTAAACGCGAAACTTTAAGGAAGGAGTTTGAATTGAATCAGGCTGGTTATGTTGTTGTCTCTATTTGGGAACACGATTTCATAAAACTAAAGAAAGAAGATAAAGGACTTCAGGAATTTCTCTTAACATTTAAAGTAATTATTATGCCTTAATTGTTTTTATAAAATGGATGCAATTCGATTATTTTTCTCATTTTGTTTCTTTTCTTTTCTTTAGGCTAAACATCGTCTTAATCCTAGAGATGCTTTTTATGGGGGGAGAACGGGTGCCGCAACATTGTATCACTGTGTTGAAGGAAATGAGAAAATCAAATACATTGATTTTACATCGCTTTACCCTTATGTCAATAAGTACTGTGCATATCCTGTAGGCCATCCTGAGATCATTCTCGAAAACTTCGAATCGATCGAAAAATATTTCGGTCTTATTTATTGCAAAATATTGCCTCCAAGATCTTTATTTCATCCTGTTTTACCCTTCAAATCAAATGGAAAACTAGTTTTCGGTCTATGTTTAATATGCATCACCACAAGAAACCAAAGTGTATGTGACCATACAGAAGATGAGCGGTGCTTAGAGGGTACGTGGACAACTTTAGAAATAAGCAAGGCATTAGAATGTGGCTATGAACTTAAAGAAATTTTCGAAATATATAATTTCAAGGAACAGTCCACCGATTTATTTCGGTCTTACATTGACACTTTCTTAAAAATAAAGCAGGAAGCTTCAGGTTGGCCAGCTGGTTGTGAAAATGAAGAAGAAAAATTGCAATACATTGAGGATTACTTCACTCGTGAAGGAATTCAGTTAGATTTTTCTAAGATTGGACTGAATCCAGGTCAACGATCCCTTTCAAAACTCATGCTAAACTCCTTATGGGGAAAATTTGGACAGGACCAGGACAAGCTTCAAACTGTGTTTGTGTCGACTCTGGCCGAGTTTAACAACTATTTTGCTGATAAGAAGAATGAAGTAAGTCATATTACATTTATTAATATATTAACAAAGAAATATTGTGCTTATTAAATACAACGACTACATGATTTTTTTTTATTTTTTCTAGATTCATAATGTATCATTTCCTACAGATGAGATTGCACTTATGCAATACAAGATTAAGAAGGAGTATCTCGGCAGTAATCCGGAGACGAATCTTTTTATAGCTGCGTTCACGACTTCACACGCAAGGCTCAAATTGTACAGCGAGATAGAAAAACTAGGGGAAAAGGTACTTTATTATGATACAGACTCAATCATTTACATTTCAGATGAAACGAATGATCCACCTCTCGGCAACTATTTGGGCGAATTCACGAATGAGCTACCTGCCGGAGACTATATAACGGAGTTTGTATCTGCAGGCCCTAAAAACTACGCCTATAAAACATGTTCAGGTAAAACAGCTTGCAAAATTCGAGGATTTACCTTAAATTTTGAGAATTCACAAATTTTAAATTTTTCAACCCTGAGAGATGTCGTGACAGAAAATGAGAGAGGTACATTAGTTACTCTAAACCCTAGAAAAATAAGCCGTGATTTGAAAGGTGCTAGAGTTGTAAACAGGAGAGAAGAGAAAAGATATAAGTTCAACTTTGACAAACGTGTAATCTTAGAAGATTTTAAAACCTATCCATATGGTTATTGATGACTGCAGCAACAACAACATTGTTTTAGGGTTAGCCTAACGGTATCCCTTTGACTTCAACTGTCCACCAAAGAGAGGATTAGGGCTCC